TGATTTCTGGGTAGGAGCTAATTGGAAAGATGAGAAATGTGAGAGTTTCGATTAATTTGAAGAAGGAAAGCTGGGGCTTCTTAAGCTCGACCAAAGGGTGAGAATCAGGAGGGAGATGGGGGCCTTGGCTAGGGCTTGTGATCATAGTGTAAATCAAAGGGAAAAAAAAGCTTTTCTTGCTTTGTTTCACAAATCCGAGAGATGACAACTTAGAGGGAAAGCTCTTGGAAGATGGGGTGTTTCGGGTAGGTTTACCTTAGCAAAACGAAAGAAAGAGAGAGTACCTTGCTTGATTTGCGAATGAGAGGGTGTGGACAAGTTGGCTTTTGATTCTTTTGTCCTTGGCTTGCCATTTGAATTGAAAACCAGGGGAGGGAAGGAGGTTGGCTACCTTGCCTTGAGCGAATGGGAGAAACAAGAGTTTCAGTTAGATTGAAGAGGGGAAACTTCTTCCTTCGGCTTTGTAGTGCGGTGACTCATGAATGGAGAAGAAGAATGGGCTCTCAAATAGGTTCCACGAATGGAGGAGATCTTATGCGATCCTTTTGGTTACTGAAAGAGGAAGAGAGTTGTGAATGGTCAGGCAGATGCCTCTCTTGTGATGCTTTCAGTTAGGTTAGAGCATGCTGGCTAAGAATATTACCAAGGGAAGAATAGACTCATAGGACATATTATGAGTAGGATTAACTCTTTCATTTGATTGAGATTTAAGGGCTATGATTAGAGGTGCTTAAGGGTTAGATTTGAGACTGATTTGGAGCTTGAGATTTACCTCCATATCATAAAATCCTCTTGGACTTACATATCTACCACCCACCATATTTTATGCATAAGAGAGTGGTTAAGTATGTAAAAATAGAATAAAATTTTGGTGTTTGATGTTAAGAACACGAGAACGAGGTGGTATGTATGTAAATTTCCCTTTTGTGTTAATGTTTTGTTTAGTTTAATTTGTTTAAGTTTTTGTTTTAAATTTCAGCATTGAGTTTGTGATTGTACAACAACGATAACAACAACAACAACAAACCTTTATCCCTCTAGTGGGGTTGGCTACATGAATCCTTTTTCTCCATTGGGACCTATTGAGTTCTTATTTTCATTTAAATCTAATTAATTAAGATCATTTTTTATACAATATGTCCAAGTCGTTTTAGGTCTACCACTGCCTTTCTCATCATAAGTTGAATGTTTGATATTATATTAATTTTAATTTATTTTTTTAATATTAAATTTTAGGTCAGATAAATTTAGGTTAAATATTAGTTTAGGTTTAATTTGATTAATTTGAGTTTAGACTAGAGTATAGCTTAAATTTGATTCAATTTAATTGATGTTTTTAATTTAAGTTTAGGTTGATTAACTTTTAAAGTTAAGGTCTGATAAGCTTAATTTGATTTAGTTAATTAAATTATGAGTTTGTTAATTTCAATTTTAGGGGGTATTTATATATACACCACTCAATTCATATTTGTTTGCACATTAATAGGAAAGTGGTATTTATGTAAATGTTCCTTACTTTTATGCTTTGTTGGTTTTAATTTCGGTTAATGTTTTAGCTTCAAATGTCTTCAAATTATTATATCTATATTTTTATTAATTCTATATTCAATTTTAGTTAAATTATGATTTAATTTAAGTGTAAGTTTAATTTAATTTTTGGTACAGTTTTATGTTAAGATTTATTATTTTTAGGTCCATTTTAAATTTATGTTTTGCTCAAGCTTAATTTTTTTCTTAAAATTTTAAATTTATGTTAATTTTAAGGTGTTTTTTTAATTAAGATGAATTTAGTTTAAATTAGGCTCGAATTTAAGTATTAATTAAGGTTTAATTGAATTAGATCAAAATTTTATTTAAGTTAAATTTTAATTTTAATTTAAGCAAAGTCCAGATAAGAGGCCAAAATAAGACACAAGTCTCTAGGGTTAACGAGCACCTTAAGGCATTTTCAACTTATGGAACTCAACTTATGTTTTGATAACTTTACACTAATCATTTCAACTAAGGGTTGAAGATTGAAGTCAAGCCTATGGAACTCTAAGAATAGAAAAGGTGTTTGAAGCTCTATTATTTTTTTTACACTGTTCTTCTATGAGAGCCAGGAAACCCTAAAGTTATATCCTAAACTCTAGAGAGAAGAAGGATATGATAGACATGTAGCCGACTCCACTTAGTGGCATAAAGGCTTGTTGTTGTATATTTAATAATTTCCTTTTTATATTCAATATATCTAGTGGAATATAAAATTACAATCTCTTACTCTTGTGAAAATTCTTAGCAAAATTCCAACATGAAATTTTTAGATTTCCTAGTTCTCATGTACAATTAAAATATTATTCCCATTAAAAAAAATATTGTTTATTATTTTATATTTCTTTTTCTTAAAATAAACAATGATTTTTTTAATTAAAATGCACCTTAAATATTTATTTCTTTTTGCCTTTGTAAATTTGTCCAGTACTTGGTCTTGGTTTGCTCTTACTTATATACATTAAAGTCTAACAAAAGAGAAATATATATTTAGCTATTAATATGGTTTCTGAGTAAAATTTCATTTAAAAACTTTGAGAGAACAAAAAAACACCCTTTATGTTTGGGCATATCAATTTTCCCTTCAAGTGAAAATTCTTCCTCGTCTTCTATTCTTCATATTATTCTTTTTTACCCCTATTGGTTGGCAGTGGGTTCTTAGATCTTGCCAAGAACCATGAGTTCAAAGCTTGGTGTTCCGTAGCTAAAATTGGCTGGAAGGCGTCCTTTCTCTAATTAACTACATGAAATCTACTCGAGCGTAGGAGGAGCCAGCAGGAGTTCCATCGCTTGTCATTTATGGGTTTCTGCTGGATTTGTGGGAGTGCTGGCAACAGTAAGTTTCATCTCTTGGTGAGGGTTGAAGCTGTTGAGAGGTTTTTCTTCCCTTATGTTGTAAATAGGGGTTCCTGTCTTTGGATAACAGGGGCGTCTGTTTGTAATCTTTTGAAGACTAGTACAGCAGCCCAAACCCAACCATCAAAACATTGTTCATTTGGCCAGGTAGCTTCATGATTTTGTTCTCTTCGTGTAATTTTGCAATGGTCGCCCATCACACTTGTGTTTGTACAATCTACTTAATTTTAGAGTTTCTAATGATATTTCAATCGGTAGGCCATAACATGCTTCAATTTAAATTAATTTGTCATACTTTAAAATTACGGGAGAGGGTAATTGAATATAAGTTAAGACGTGATACAAAAGTTTCTCATAATAAATTTGGATTTAGGACGGGCAATGCTTTATAAGTTAATTTGTCAAAATTTCTCATAAGTTAATTTGTCATACTTGTGAACAATTTATAAGATGATGGTGAAACCTGCATTGCTTTACAGCACTGAATGTTGGCCTTTAAAAGAGAAGCATAAAACAAAGTTGAGTGTTGTTGAGATGAGAATGCTCAGGTGGATGAATGACTTGACACTTAGAGACAAAATGTGAAATGAATCTATCTGTGAAAGGGCTGTTGTAGCTCCAGTGGCAGGTAATATTATAGGGAGTCATCTTATATTGTTTATTCACATTAAACGTCGGTCATCAGATGATTTGATTAGGAGAGTGGATGTTTTAGATTTGACCTATGTTAAGAAAGACAGAGGTAGACTTAACAAGACTTGGGCTTATTGTATAAAAAAAATGATCTTAATCTATTAGAATTAAATAAAATATGATACTCAATAGGAGATGATGAAGAAAAAAAATTTATTTTGTGGACCCCAATTAGTGGGATAAAGGCTTTGATGTTGTTGTTTTTTGTAGACGAGAAGGTGCTTTGATTTTTAAGAGTTCAAGTTCAATTAAATTAGTGGATTTCATAATCTCTCTCAAGTAATTAACTTTCTTTTCAGTATTCTTAACCTATAATCATCCACAAGGCAAACCAATTTTTAGAGTTGGATTCTTCAAGTTGTTGCTTCTATTATATGGCATTTTGTGCTAGTCAGGTTTCAATAGGTAGCTCCTATGATAATATTTTATCCTATGATAATATTTTATCTTGTCTTACACTTACTTCGCAGCTTGCAGGTGGTGTATTGCTCTTATATTATTTGTAATAACTTGAAATTTCAACCATTGAGATATTGTTCACTTTGGCATAATGATCTCATGATTTTGTTCTCTTGATGTAATCTCTTGGGTGATCACTCATCCTAGGAGCTCTCACATACAAACACACTTAATTTTTGATTTTTTGATGAAATATCAATTGTTGAACCAACATCTCGGTATAAGAGTTTAACCTTGTCCTACTTAAGTCTGCTCTAGGAAGTTACACCAAGGGGACAAAATGGTGAGGCCATTAGGCTAAAGTGGAAAATATCTTGGTGGTTAAGAGTTCGGGCTTTTATGACAATATGACTAAAAGGTGCAATTTTCTACTGTAAAAATATGAAATTTGCTGATATGCGGCCGTCAATATCAGCGGCCGTTCATTTAACTGTATCTTGTCATGTTTTGACTTGGTGGTGTTCATAATATCGTTTAAGCGTTTGAGTGAATATCTTTTTTTTTTTTTCATAATGTGTATTTCTGTAAATGATGTAATTACCTTGGTTGACCCATATGGAAGATTTCACTGTTTTCTTAGGTGCTTCACATTTTTAATTGCATTCTTTATGCATTGATTTGTCATGTTTCTTGATTGTTTTCCATTTAAAATGCCGAGCAACTAACTCATATAACTCAAAGAGCTGTGAACTCGTCAGGGCAAAACTTCTTCAAACTTCCGCAAAGACCTTTAGAATAAAGTTGGATGGTGATGGCCTTGGTGATCAGCTTTTCTGTTAGGATAAAGTTAGATGGCAATGATCTGGATTATCAACTTTTCTGGCCGAATTTTGTTCTCTTATTTTATTCATTTGTTGCGTTTTGTTTTGTTGGTGGCTGTTAGCAACTTAAGGCCATTCTGTATTTTCTTATATTCAATTCTTTACTCCGTTTTACTTTATTGGGAATTGTTTTGCTTGCAGCCAACTATTCTTTTTTTTCATAACGGGGAAAAATCTTCGGAAATTGTGGGTGCCGATGTGACAAAGCTCAAACAGACAATGGAGGGACTTTACAAGTAACTCCTCTGATTCTGATTTCAGGCTTTGAACTAATTAAAGCTTTTTAAACATGGAACATTGCCAGTTGAGAATGTTAATTTGCTAAACCTGACTGCTTTTTAAAGTGAAACTAACTTGTAAATAGTTCTTAAAGCATCAATGATGCAAGATGTCTCTGCAAGGATGCTGGAAATTTTATAGTTGTTATATCTCTAAATGGTGGTTCTGTGTCCCTTAATTGTTCCAGCTCTCATCCTTCTGCTATTCATCTAAATGTTGGTTCTATGCTTCCTATTTATTCAGGCATGCATCTTGTGAATATAGTCATCTAAATGTAGTTTTGTGTGTAACTGAGTGGGAGCAAAATTAATGTAGAGGTTGGACCTGAGGTGCTATGGATTTCTTATATCATTACAACCTTTGCGGAGTAGGGTTGGGAGGATTATGATAAAGGGGAGTGGGAAGGAGAAATAGATGCAAGTGTGCGGGTGAAATAGGAGTGTATGGGAGAGTGAGGAGGCAAAACTCACGATTTGAATGCCTAAGTAGTTAGATTTGATATTGATGGGGTAAGGTTTTTTACACTTCTTGAATTTGTGCATAATCATAACCGTAATCTGAGCAAGTTTTGAAGATCAGTGATTGTTTAGATCTCATAAATTAATCTCCAAAGCTAGAGACGGTGTTTTGAAAGCCATGACTTAGGTTGGCATTATAACTGCAGGTGGTTTATCATATCTAGAAGAGGAAGTTGTTAAGAGTTGTAATTTTGAATCGTATTAACTTTCCATAAATTTTGGAGGGTAGACGAGTAAAGACTATTGATTCCTTCAGTGCAAGTCAATAAATGTCGTGTTATGGATTTGTTATGTGCATAGGATGTGCAGTTTGTTAAAAAGAATGAAATGAAATAGTCAAATTTTCTTGAACTGATGTATTTGGGAGATTTATTTATGATTGCTTCAGAGATATGTTAGATTTGACGCTATTTTTAGATTGATCAAGTATAGTTTGGTTTGTAGGCATTTTGTGAGAGTGAACCATCATTTGGAAATATATTTTTATTGGTGCTAGATTTGTATTTGTGGAATCCATTATTTCTTTGCATGGTTATTTGAAACTCCTTTAAGATTAGTTGATAACAGACCTCGGATTACACGAATTACAATCTATACAGTACATGACCATACAAGCACTATGTACTGTTTGAGAAAGTTTTCTTCTCAGATCATTCTTTATGGTAGTGGCATATTTTAATATTAACAAGGTTTTTTGATACTCTTTTTACAAATATGTATAATCGTGATTTGTATATCGATTTCTCTCTTTCTCTCTCTCTCTCTCTCTCTCTCTCTCTCTCTCTCTCTA